ACTGCCAGCCAGCCGAGACAGATTCGCCCTATAATTTATGGGACTCTATAAAAGAAGCGCCATTAAGGAAATGCACATCTAAATGATTTTTCATCTCGCCAGGGTCAGCTGTAATAGACCCATCCGTCTTATTAGCGACAAGGAGCTCAGGGGAGGCCTGTCGCTCAGTCCAGTGCGGCGCCGACACCCTCTTTGAGCCTGCTGGCGGGCGGCCTTTTTGGGGGGAAAATTAGAGAGCTGCTTTAGATCAGGCTTGAACTTTAATCCCCCCCCCAAACCCTCAAGCTTTGCCTGCTTCTCCCTTACCAGCCACCAGAGCCTTTTGTAAGTGGAGATGTTGGGATCGGAACCCAGCACCTTTTCTGAAGGCTAGACAGATGCTCTACAATCAAGCTAAGGCAAAATAAGTTTCTAGTTCTCATGCTGCTGGAGAAAAGTTTAATTTAAAAAGGAAGGAAGGAAGGAAGGAAGGAAGGAAGGAAGGAAGGAAGGAGCCTTTGTCAACTACTGTAGCTTCCTATTTCCAACCCTGAACGGCTGCCAGAGTTTTCCAGGGCTGTCAGCCTCGCCTGGAGGTCCAACCTGGAGCATTGTGTGAGCAAAGCAAGACCCTCCCACTGAACTATGACTCCCCAAGGAACTTTTCTAGAGGCTGATCATTTGACTTGCTCAAGGTCAAAAAGGTCAACCTTTCCCCAGGTCTGTTGCATCCCAAAACTCATACCTTCTTCCACAGACCAACTACGGCACTGATTTTGGGGCGCCAGGAGAATCCTGAGTTCCAAAGCTACTGTCAGGCCATGGAACACCACCGTATCCCAAGAGAAACTTTAACTCCCAAAGCTTTGGCCCAAAGGTTCCCGGAGATCCACCTGCGTGGTGGAGAGATGGCCATATCCGACCACACAGCTGGGGTCTTGTACGCCGACAAGGCACTTAAAGCTGTCCAGGTAAGGAGGGTAGGCTTAATTGGGGGGGGGGGGGAGAGAGAAATGGAGGTTTACTCCTAAATCTCTGCAGCTCTCCTTTCTTCATTTCTGTTACTCTCGCCTCTCATCTCATTCCTGACCCATGTCCCTCGCTCTCATTGGCTGGCACGGGGGAGGAAAGACAGCACAGAGAGAGAGGGGGGGAGAGAGAGGGAGGGAGGGAAGGAAGGAAATGGTAGCTGGGAAGAGGAGGGGGGGTTTAACACAGAGAAAAAAAGAGTGTGCCGAAAGAGAGAGAGGAAGGGTGGCTGAGATTTTTAAAAAAAGAGAATGAGGGGGTAGCAGAGAGAGATAAATGGGACCCCCCCCAGAGAGAAAAGAGGAGCCAGAGAGAGACAAAGAGGCTGCAATGGGGTGGGGTGGGATGGGGAGCTGTAAAAAGGAGAAGGGAGACATGCAGAGAGAGGGTGGCTGCTTGAGAAGGGTGGGGTGGCAGGAAGGGGCAGAGAGAAGCCAAAGGGCTGGCCAAGAGAGGAAGAGGAAAGGGTGGCCGAGACAGGCCGGGCCCTGGGGATTCTTGCTCTCTCCTTCCCAGTTACGTACCGTACTTCTGAGTCGCCTGAGTGCAGCTATTCCTGCAACTAAAACACAGATACATTTGCAACACGAAAAGCGGGTATGATCCTGCTCGATTACAATCGTATTGCAATCTCATCAACCTGTCATACTCCCTGACACGCCATAAAATGGATTCAAGCAAAGCCAACCAACCACCACACAGGCAGGAAGAGACTTCCCGGTCGGCTGGCAATAATGAACGAAGCACCTTTGGAGGCCATTTTTCCATTCCTGGGGAGCCCCTTTCCCCTCTCCTGCCCCCCCCCAACTTCTGGCTCTCTTTGCCATGGAGAACGGCTGCAGACCTCACATTTTATTCTATTTCTGCTTTATACGCTGAGTGTTTTTTTCCCCTTCCCTCTTGCTTGAAGGCCATCAAAAGCTACCGATGGCATAAAAACAAGGCAACTCCAAAACACTGCCATAAAACAACAAAGATGTTGGCTTGTGTTTTTCAAAAATGAAAAGCGGAGCAAGAAAACATTTCCTCAAACAAAATGCAGCAATATAAACCGAAGAGCAGACATCGCTGGAGACCAAAGGGTCTCGGAGAAATAAACCACGTTTACGGCTTGATGGAAAGCCCTTAAAAAGGATTTCCGCAGCCTTTAAGGGAAGCAAGGCTGAATTTCCCCCCTTTTTTTCCCCTGGCTCGGAGAAATTGCTCAGAGCTTGAGAAATGACTTTTAACACCTCATCCCAAGGCCACAAAAAGCCAAAAATCATTGCTATGCAACTCCTTGGAGCAGTCAGCGAAGTGTTGTGGAGAGAGTGTGATTAGGGAGACCCGGGTTCGAATCAGCTCTGGAAAGTCACTGAAGATGGCGATAGATATCTCACACACCTGGTGAGATGGTGTCTAGAAACGTCTGCGCACGAGGTCAGTACGTTGTCACGAAGCCAGGTCAAACCAAATTTCTAGTCCTCAAGAGTTCTAAATACAGATTTGGCTTTAAATAGGAAATCTCCCGGCAGAGCCTGGAACCGCACCGGCTGATCACTCTTCTCTGCCCCCCTCCCTCTCTCTTAGGATCAATTCCGACGTGATGGAGGGACCGTGCGTGATGGTGAGAAAGTGCTCAGCATCATCCCAGGGGCCGTGGTCACTGTAATAACCAGCCTAGGGGAGCATCGGGCTAAAAGCCTAGTGGTCACTGCCGGAGCATGGACGGGTCCACTGTTGGCCTCCCTAGGCCTGCACCTGCCTCTCCAGGTAAGGGGCAATCAAGGTGGCACAGGGGCCAGAAAGACTGGCGGTGGAGGTGGGATGCTGATTGTCAGACGGTGACGCTACCTGCTTACCACCACCTGGGCTTTCTTATTCCCTCAAGCTGAGGAAACAGCCTTCTGACCAGCTGGATTTTGCCTACTGCCACTTAGGTCTCGAATGAGCCCCCAAGAGCCGTTATCCTTGCAAAAGGCCTGCTCCTGACAGAGCCAGGAACAGTCAGCATGTGTTTCTCAAGGCGTCCACCTTGGCTTCAGTGTTTTTTGGACTGCCCGGCGGGGAGGTGGGAGCTATAAGGATGGCCCCAAAAAGTGCATGATCCAGCATTTCCTGCTCTCCACCTTCGGAGAGAACAGGCAGAAATCCAACAGATGTATTGAGTGATAAGTGTGCAAGTCTTTTTTCAATTTGGCTTCCCACTCACCGTCAAGGAGCGATGCCAGTGCACGAGCTAGTCGGGACTGTGGAGGATCAGATGACTTGGCCGGCCAAGATCCAAAGGTTAACTGGTGGAGAACTCCCAGGTTGCCTTGGTTGAGCAGAGGTTCTTGGAGAGCCATATATTCTTAATCCGTTCTCTCTTTCCCTGTTTATTTTTAAGCGAATGGGTTTAGGTCCTTTTCTTTGTGTACAGACGGATGTTTTCTTCCCATGTTTCCTGACTAACGGAAGAGTTGTTTACCACTCCCCCTCCGACTGTTTCTAAAGGGCAACGTTTAGCCCTATGCATCCACGACATTGTGAACTGTTTTGGGCACACTTCTCTGGGGGAAAGCAGTGGGCAAATCCATCAGTGACACTTCGTTCCGCCCAGGGGTGCCCACCGGCTTAGCCTCTTCCTTCCTCCGTTTTCCTCCCACCAGCCCCTCCGGATCAGCGTCTGCTATTGGCGGGCAAAACCGCCGGCCACCCTGGAAGCCATGCCTTGTTTCCTTGGCATTTGCCTCAACGGGAGCCAGCACCACATTTACGGCCTGCCGGCCAACGAGTACCCAGGTCTAGTCAAGGTGAGAGAGGGGCAGGGAGCCCGGCTGGTTAGCTGTGGAGAGGGTGTGGGTGGGGGCTGATGGCCTATTAAAAAAAAAAACACCTGAGTGGCTGCCATCTTCATAGAAACAGTCAGGCCAGCCCTACCAGGAGCCGGAACAAGAGGGTTGGCCCAGGGGGCAGATGCTGGGAGACGGGGCCCTGGGGCAGCCTGCACAACAGGTGGGGGGAGGAAATAAAACCTTGGATCTGGAAAGATTTTCGAGAGAAAGGTCCTTCACAGATGTACATGGGGGTACAAGGGACCAATGGGGAGGGCCTCTAACTACTAGGCCTTCTCCAGATTTGCTATCATCATGGTACACCGGTGGATCCAGACACCCCCGACCAGCTGAGCCAGGCCTCTCCAAACCCCGTTCCTGATGTTCAGATCCTACAAGATTTTGTGAGCAAGTACCTGCCAAGCCTTGATCCTGAACCCGCTGTACAAGAACGCTGTCTATACACGGTAAGAAGCCGTCAGGATGCCTGGGGACAAGCAGACAGGCCAGGCATTAGGAGTGAATCCCTGCGCTGCTTTTGAGGGGTCGGAACAAGGAATGTCGGCTGAGGTGCAATTTTAGCCGTGGCTGGGCTGGTGACAGAAGCCCTTCTCCAAAGGAGGCCTGATAAACTGACAGGCCTTGTGTCCACAGGACGGAGTGATTGCCACGATCCAAGTGTGCTCCCAGGAACAGGGGATAATTTCTTTCGATACAAGTGGAAAGAGAGAGGAGAAAAGATGGGGATCGGCTGCTGTGATCCTCTCCACTAGCTGAAACAGGACCTCCCTATTCAGAAAGAGGTCTATCTTTGAGGAACTGACAGTGTGGGTGAACAAGTTGTGCTGGAAAGGGGGGCGATGGGTGTTCTAGCCCCCAAATCCCAAAGGGGTCTGGGAGGAGGGCTGTCCCACCTGGCTGAAAGCTGCCCTGTCTTGCTTTTCTTACTGGGAAGGGTGGGGGGGGGCAACTCACAGACAGCTTTTTAGGGCACCTAAAGGTCCCAAGGCTGATGCTCAGCACCAACCCAGCGAGAGCTGGAAACAAGCCTGCCTGAACTGCACATCTTGTTTTCTCTCCCCCCCCCCCCAATGCCTCAGAACACCCCAGACAAGGCTTTTGTGATAGATCGGCACCCGCGATTTAGGAATATTGTCATCGCAGCTGGGTTTGGCACCTAAAGGTCCCAAGGCTGATGCTCAGCACCAACCCAGCGAGAGCTGGAAACAAGCCTGCCTGAACTGCACATCTTGTTTTCTCTCCCCCCACCAATGCCTCAGAACACCCCAGACAAGGATTTTGTGATAGATCGGCACCCGCGTTTTAGGAATATTGTCATCGCAGCTGGGTTTTCAGGTAAGGTTCGCTGGGTTTTTTTTTAGGGGGCAGCGTCCATCCTCCCACACTCCAGGACAACCCACGAGTCCTTGGTTGGGTCTTTCGAGGCTCTCCGATGACGCCCATCCTTGTGTTGGCTGAACTCCCACTTCTTAGAAAAGGGAGGATTTCTCAGAGTAAGAAAGGACTGGCCATTAATGTGTGAGACCTCCATGGATGGACAGGAGCCACAATTCTCTCTCGGGGGGGGCAGAGAGAGGGGATTTCCAGACCCAGGAGAAACTGACCTCTGAGCTGGTGATGATGGCAACTCTTATGGCCGGCCGGCAGGCTTTCCCAGAGGCATCGGGTTGTCCACCGAGGGATCCAGGACTTTAGACCAGTCAGGCCTTATGTTCAACCCAGCAGAATTTCTTTTCGGTCTCTAGGAATTATTTCATTTCCCTGCAACAGCGTTACAACAATCCCACCCCACCCACCCCCAATGTGTCATATTTTCGCAAGACCCTGGGCAGCTCCATAATGCAAATAGGTTTCTTCATCCCCAACAGGGAAGGGAACGCGGCCTTCGGAGAGACCCCGGAGGTCTCTTCTACTGGGAACACAGGAGGGCTGGATCCAGCCCCAGGGATACAGACGCTCCACCTTTACCTGGCTGGTTCTTTTTGGGCTCTTTCCTCCACAGCAGGAGGCAGAAGGAGAGCTGGACTGGGATCCTCTCGCTTTTCTTCTCTCTTTCTATTTCACAGGCCACGGGTTCAAGTTTGCCCCCGTCATCGGGAAGGTCCTTGGCCAGCTGTGCCTGGGCCAGGAGCCCTCTTACAACCTGGCGCCGTTCCGGATAAGCCGTTTCCCGGGCCTGACGAAAGCCTCTCTGTGAATCTCTCTCAAGCTGACTACGACCGACCGAGAAAGAGGCACGGGGGCTGCGCCTTGCCTTAAAAAACAAACAAACACAAACTGGTGACCTTGCGAACTGGCTCAGCGCCTTGAGCTCACCATCATCACCACCACCACCCCGGCCGCGAGAAGGGCCAAGCGCAGCCACACCCTTTGGCCCTGACCGACAGCATTGTTGTCTTGACTAGCGACACCCACAGCTTGTAAAAGTCTGTTGCTGTTTTTATTAAAAGCTACAGTATGAGTAACAAAATAAAGATTCAATGTATTTGCAAAGGCTTTCACGGCCGGGATCTAATGGTTGTTGTGGGTTTTTCGGGCTCTTTGGACGTGTTCTGGAGGTGGTTCTTCCTAACGTTTCGCCAGTCTCTGTAGCCATGGGCATCTTCAGAGGACAGCACTGAGAGCACAGAGTGCTATCCTCTGAAGATGCCGGCTACAGAGACTGGCGAAACGTTAGGAAGAACCACCTTCAGAACCCGGACAAAGAGCCCGAAAAACCCACAGCAACCAAAATAAAGATTTGGCAGAAACAACAAACCATCCCTTCTTTTAAAGCATTACAAGCACTAGAAGGGTCACGGATCCTTTAGGGTGGGAGGACTTTGACCTCCCTCTGCCCTTGGCCGAAAGTGCCGAGGGTGAGGATGATGTACATTGTAGTCCAAGGCGCCCTTGTGGGCTGTCAGCTGCCGACCTCGGCTGGGCCCCAATCTCTTTTTATAAAGCCGCTTTCCAAGTTCTCTGAAAAGACATCCCACCATCCCTCCAAATTTCCCCTTCTTTAAAGGCCCTAGCCCCTGTGACACAGCCCAGGCCAACCATACCAACGCTCCTAACAGGCAGAACCCCACGGGGTGTCTGGATGAGACCTTTATCCCTCCATGACCCTGGATTTGTGGAACTTCACCCGAAGGGGTCTTCTCTTTGAAAGGTTCTGGGTTGTTCTCTCATCTTTCTCTTGTGAATTTGGAGGAGGGGGAAAGACGACAACGGGCAAGCCGCTTAGGGTTCTTCGCAACCTAGGTGCTGAGAGTTGTTTGTCTGATCGCACCGGGGGAGTCGGGGCCTTTCCCTCCTCCTCCTCTGAACGCTCCCCTCCAGCCAATTACTTCCGCTGAAAGCATGTACGTAATAAACTTCCCAAAAAGTCATTTAAACCTTAGGATTCATTAAGCAGAGAGGGAAAGAGGCGGCTGGATGCCCCCCTCGGCCACCCCACCCCTCCAATGCACACTTCACGGAGTCAAGCGAAATGTTTTAAAGTTAAATGTGCCATTTTATTATCATTAGATAGCTTAGCTTAATAGAGGCGCATTACCGTCATGCGGCTTTATGGCTCTGGGCCGAAGCAGTGATGGTGGCGGAGGGGGGGGGAGGCGATGAGACCGGAGCCCCTCGCCAAAGGGGTGAGGAGGTGAGCAATGATTGTGAAACATCGGGGCGGCCGCCATGGCCTGTGGGAGCAACACAATCGGAGGCACCCTTGCACCTCTGTTTGTGCAATTGTGCACAAGTGCAGCACCTGCAGGCGACGGACCACGTGAATATCAGCCAATCCCGCATTGAAGGGCCCCCTCACACCCCACAGACACTCCCAAACATTCTGCACTTTCTCACACAACTAGGTGCACACAAGCTTGTGCCATCCTCACACAACTCACTCACAAAGAAACCGTACCACTGCGCACCAAGGCTGGCATTCACGCTTATTGCGTGCAAACTCGCCCGCACTCTCTCCCTTTCTGACCCCAAAACACACCCAGCCTTGCGTCCCTTTCTTTAACAAACTGATTTATTTTGAGGGAGAGGACGACAAAAGCCATTAACGAAGACGAGCCTTATTGCTGAGTTTTGCGCCCTCCCCTTTCGCCTCCGAGTGTCAATTAAAGCAACATTAGAGGCAAATTGTGGGCGCAGAGGAAAAATACACAGACGCAGCGCACAAACCTGCGTGATCCGGCGGAGCGAAGGGGGAGAGGGCTCTCCTTCGCCAGGGCCCCCCTTTTCTTTGCTCTGGCCCTCTCTTCTCCACCCCGGCCCCTTGAAGCAAAAGCCATGGGCCAAAGACTGGGCGCTGCCCCCCCCAAGCCGCCATCGCCCTCCGCAACTTCCGCGCGCCATCTGGTGACTTGGGAGGGGAGGGTGGGACGTGTGTCCGAGGCCCTTTCCGGAGGGGAGGGGGCTCTGAATCATTTATAGGCCTTAATAAATATGCAGATGAAGAGCAGGGAATCGGGAGCCCTCGAGCCGTTCTCATTAATTATTGAAAGTTATGGTAATGGCAAGGAGGCTGTTCATTTGCATAACCCACATCTTGTTATCACCGAGTCATGGGGGGGGGGGAGAAGGCAGCTCTCTCCCTCCTTCCCCAAAACACAAACACACACAAAGACACACACATACAACTGGCAGCTCCTCTGCCTCTCCCAAGACAAGACGGGACCAGTGGCTATGGTAAACCCAATAGTACTTCCAGAAGAGGGACAAGGGACATATGATCCTTCTGATGGGCTTGCACTACAACTCCCATCATGCCTCACCCTCATCAATAACATCCAGAGGGCCACTCGTTGCCCATTGTGGTTGGAACCACCCCGTTCACCCCAAACCATGAGGGCAGGACGGTCGAGGGGGAAGCTTGGACCTTCCGCCTGTTTTGGGTCAAAACGCCCAATTACTGTACTTTCTCCTCAGTGGCCATGCTGGCTGGGGTGGATGGGCGTTGGAAGTCCCACAGCTGCTGGAGGACCACCTGCTGCACACCCTGAGGGCAACGCCTGGGGCAGCTGCTCCCCTTCCTCCAAGTACAGGGTACACGAGGCCCTGCAAGCAGGGCTGGACTACAACGCCCATCATGCCTCGCCTGTGGCCATGCCAGGGAGGATGGGAGTTGAGGTATAGCAACATCTGAACCGCCACCTGTTCCCGACTCCTGCGTTAACCTCACGGGAGGGCCAGCCCTTACGTGAGGCGGCTTTGGCTTTTTAACTTCTCTGAGTTTTTTCCCCAGTGGGGTAAAGGCGGGTGAAATAAAACAGGTGGGTTGTGAGCCAACAGAAATTCAAAAATGGGTTTTTCTTGTCTTTTCCTTCCCCATCGAAAATCCTGGTCTCAAAACGCTGCATTTTTTCAATTAGCAAATAACAGTGCGAAGGTCTACAAAGCAGCAGCTGCTATTTTTGCCCATAGCTGACAGCTGAAATTAGTTAATTCCAGGAGATGCTATAAACGTAAAGTGAGAACAGGGGTTTCTTAAAAGCCAGTCTTACAGTTTTCTCAAGGCCTTTTCACACCATTGTAGATTTATTATTTTTTTTCCTGCCCCTTAGAGGGGTAAACGCTGGAGCGTGGCTTCAGGTCTACCGAAAGAGACGCCAGAACTGGGAAATGTGAAAGCCAGAAAGAGGAGCTTTTCAAAAGGCGAAGGCAGGCAACTCCAGAGGCCGGGGTTGGCTCCTCTTCACTCTTCCAGCAGCCCGCTCTGTGGCCAAGCTCTGGTTTGCTCCCAGGCCATGTGTGAAGTCCATGTTGCGTGGCTGTTTAATATTCCAGCAGGCGTGGGCCGCTGTTGGCCCACCAGCCCCGATGGGAAACAGTAAGGGATCATGGGAGCCGGAATCCAGCCACCTCTGGAGGGGCTTCCGTTGCCTGCTCTTGCATTAAGGCGACTCTGAACTCTTTGATCTGCTCCAAGCTGGTCAAATGGCCAAGTGGGAATTTCAGATCCTGTCCGGTTCACTTTCGTTTAAGATTTGCTGCCCAAACCTTTACATTTCTTCATACTAGGTTGGAAATTGTGAAAGAAACCAAATATGGTATGAGCCATCCATGCTGGGGTCTGGCACTGTTTCAAGTCTTGAATTCCTGCATTTTCCAACACGTCTATGTCCAGTTAGAGACGCCAAGTCTTTTTCCCCCTCTTAAATGTGTTCATCTTTAATGTTCGTACGGCAGCCGGAACAACACGGCCTTCTCCAAGGCAAAAGGGGGACTGTTCATCTTTGAAGAATTAACCCAATACAGTGGTGCTCCGCTAGATGATGACCTTGCAAAATGACGAATCCGCATGACAATGAGTTTTTGCAGTCACTATAGCGCTTCGCAAAACAGTGTTTCCTATGGGCAATTTTCACTGGACGATGTTTGGGTTCGTGTTTCACAGACCATTTTTCGCAAGACGACGATTTTAAGCTGATCAGCGCTTTGCAAAATGGGTGTTTTCGGGACCGATGCTTAGCAAGACAACGTTTTTAACAGCAGTTTGGTGCTTCGCAAAATGGCTTCCGTATGGGTGATTTTCGCAGAATGACGACGTTTTTTCCCCATTGGAATGCATTAAACACATTTCAATGCATTCCAATGGGGAAACACTTTTCGCAAGACAATGTTTTCACAAGACAGCAATTTCAATGGAACAAATTAACATCGTCTTGCGGGGCACCACTGTACAGGCCATTTGGTCACGTTTGCAATGGGGAAAAGCAGAGGTCTCGAACATGTAGATGCAGGAGAGAACAAAAACGTATTTTCCCATGCCTAAAATATATAGATTAAAAAATCAACGGCTAGTACGTTGCACAAAAGCTGTCCCTCACAAAGCGGTTCTTCTCAGGTGGAAGGGCTGCCAGTTCCTTCGACTCAGCATGAAGCCACACTTTTGCACTACAATTCCCAGAATCCAGCGGGGTGCCAGGAAGTCCGGCCGATTTGAGGAAGGGCAGTCGTAAATGACAATCTCTACTTCATCCACCTCACCTCTGTGAGAAACCAGCCTCTCACCGGTGATGGAAAGGGCTCAGTGGGTGGAGCTGTTAGGCTGGCTCGGCACAGCAACGCTCTCCACATGTTCAGAGACACTGCAGGCGTGTTGCTGCTTTCTGGGCTCCTGAAAGGGGCCCCTCAGGTGCTCTCAAGATGTTCTCTCTCTGCACCTGCCGTGCTGAGCAACCCCATCCCTCCGCCTTCACCCAGCCCCCCCCCCCCCGGCAAGCAGCAGCAGCTTCCCGGGGCAGGCAGCTCTCTTTGTAAATACGTTGTTTACAGCTCGCCCTGGCTCTGGAGAGGATTACGCCGCACAGCAAAAGCAGGTGGGAGAGCCGACGGCGCCCGAGCTCTCCCGTCTGCACCATCTGTTCCAAACAAGCCAGGATTTGTGGCCTACATTGGGCTCCTTCATTCCACCCACCCCACCCCACCCCACTCCCAACGCAAGCCAGTCCTGTCTGCCTCCATGGCCAAAGTGAGAGAGACTCCCGTGGAGGGAAACGAAAAGGCAGAGGTGGCCTGCTCTGGCAGGTGGACTGCAGGTTAGGTGGAAGAGAGAATGGACGAGGAAAAATCAAACTGGGGAATAGATAGCCCTTTAGAGTTTGGCGGTTTATTTTGTGGACTACAACTCTCATCGTTCCTGCCTCTTGTGGGGACTCGCAGTCCAAGAACTCCTGGAGGGTTGTGCCTTCACCTTGGTGGAGGAGAGCTGTGGGCCGCCTTGCCCCAGCCGGATCCAGAGGGTTCTCCAGGCCTGTGATTCTCCAGCTCCCTCCTTCCATTCCGGGAAGTCCCGGCTGGCTGGCCGGCCTGGCAGGGATGACGGTTAGGTGTTCTGGAAATTCAAGTGTTAAGCATCTGGTGGATCAAAGGTTAAGAGGCACTGAAAGGCAGCAAGCTGCCTCCGGAATGAGCTCTGCTCGGGAAAGGAATTTCCAGGCCTGTGGAGGGCAACTACTGTATTTTGATGTGCATTCCTAGGCAAGGAAGAAAAAAGAACAACAGAAAGGATCTTTCTGTATTAAAATTTTGATGTTCATTCCTAGGGAAGGAAGAAAAAAACAACAACAGAAAGGATCTTTCTGTATTAAAATCAGATTTCAAAAAGCAGCCTTCTTTAAAAGGATGGTCTGCGGAAGCCACCGCTGGGATCCTTCTATTCCACAACCATCATCAGAGCAACGCCAAGGCCCACCGTGCTGATAAAAAAATTGGCACAGGATTTTGGGGCCCATCCCTGGAACGGAATCAGTTGGGGGGGCTCAGAGCCAAGGCTGGCGGGATGTGGCCCTCTGGATGCTGTTGGGCTGTGATTCCTAGCATTGCCAAAGGGCATGGTGAAGGATCATGAGAGCTGTAGTCCGGCCATACCTGGAGGAGCTGAGAACACCTGGTGTGAGGCCTAGAACTGGTTAGCTGGCTGAAGATAAAACCAGGATGGAAGAGAAATATAAGACCGCTCTCCTGCGCACACAATCTGGACCTTCCCTTTTTTATATATATTCTGCACAGTCTCAGAGGCACCGTTGTCTCTCTGTTCCAGAGGGCTGGGAATGTGCATTGGGATGAAGGCTGGGCGCCTGCTGCTTCTCATGAAACGCTGTTGGTCTGTCTCTTTCTCTTTGCTTGTTTGAGGAGCCAACATGGCTTCTTGTTCACCTCATCAAGGAGGCTGTTGGCACAAAAAGCAGTCGGTTATTCCCAGCTGCAGAGTCTGGGGGCTCAGAGCGAAACACCCAGGGACAACCCTCGGTTGGCATGCAAAGTCTCTCGCTGCACACACGAGCGTGGGTGGATCAGGCCGCCATGGGCAAAGGAGGCTGCTGTACTTCGGCTCAAGTGTGCACCAGTGGGGGAGTTGAGCTCCCAGGGAAACTTCCCCGAGAGGTTCCTGGAGGCCAGAATCCCCAAGGGCAGCAGCTTGTTGTGTGTGTTTAGTCGTTTAGTCGTGTCCGACTCTTCGTGACCCCATGGACCAGAGCACGCCAGGCCCTCCTGTCTTCTACTGCCTCCCGGAGTTGTGTCAGGTTCATGTTGGTTGCTTCGCAGACACTGTCCAGCCATCTCATCCTCGGTCGTCCCCTTCTCCTCTTGCAGCAGCTTAACAGCGTCCAAAGGTCCAATTGGTTAGCGTGACAACCAGAAAGCAGCTGATGATTTTATATTTTTTTTAAAATCAGGATGTATTCCAGGTCGCTTAAGTCAAAACCATTCACAAGCTGAAAACAGGAAGCCGCTGGAGGCGGGAACCCGCCATGCCGACTTAGTGCAATTCGCTCGCTGCACGGGGGCTGCCAGGCCTGCCATTTCAGCCACTGCCAGACAAGCCCAAAGCGAGAGGCGGTCTGATGGCCCCAGCGGGCGAGGGAAGGGGCCGGGGTTCCCAAAAAGCTGGGCTCTTGCCACAGCACAGAAGGCAAGAAGAGGTGGACTTTGTCTCAGCAGCAAAGCTGGCTGCCAGAGAGGCCCCGTTTCTGCGTGAGTTTGTAGAAGAGGGACCCATCTCATGCTCCGCCTTGCAGTTGGCTGGATGGCAAGGCTCAGGAAGGAGGTGTCCTTCCTTGGCTCCTTCCACTCCGAGTCCCATCCAACAGGCCCGGCCAGTCTGGCCCATGAGTTGAGCTGATGTAAGGTCTTCAACATCTGGAATGGCAGAGGCGATTCTCCACACCCAATCTCCCCTTCATCTTCGCAAAGCGGCTCTTCACTCAAGCTCAGTTGCCTCCCCACTTTGGGGATACTGGGAGGTGTAGTCGAAAAAGATTGGGAGGGGGCAGGTGGAGATCACACACGACTGAATAACTGTGTTGACATTCCCTTCCTATGCTGCACGTTTGCCTGCTGAGACCCAAGAGCATGCCATCAGAAATCAATTAACCGCAATTAACGGCTCCTGTGATCTCCAAGCACCCACTTAAGGCTGGGTTATGTTTTCAGAAGTGCTGCAGGATTGGAGGGGGGGCAGCCTCTCCTGTTTTGCACAGGTGGGGACGGGGGGGGGGGTGAGCCTCCATGGCTGAAACTTTAAGAGAACCGCCCCTTGTGCAGATGGCAACCTTCTGCCTCGGCGACCTTCTGCCTCTCCCTTGTTCGACTCTTTGGAATGGGGCGATATTACCGGGTGGGGACAGAGGGTTGTCCACTGAGCGAGCGAGCAAGTGAGCAGTGCAGAAGGAAAAGTACTGGCCCCCTGCCTGCAAATCATATTCCCACTCCACAACTTTTGAGAGGCGGCGGGTGAGGCGATGAAATCGGGCAGGGTGGGGAGACGCTCTGCTCTCTGCGGCATGCCACCCCTGCGGGTTTTCTGCGACTTCACATCTCTGCCAAAATGACAGGGATCCTTAAGCCCGTCTGGCATGGGATGCAACGAGATGGCCCCACCTCTCCTCAAAGGGACAGGCGATAGAACTGTCTTGCCATCAGAAGCACGATTTGGAACAATGCAAGGTTTTTAAGGCCCGTGGCTCCTTGGGTTCCTTCCTCCAACCAGCCAATGGCTGTGGCCCCCGCAGGCCCGTAGACGGAATTCCTCCAGGCTCGGTGGAGCCTCTCCAGACGATGACCCCTGTTTTCTGAGAGCCTGGCTCCTGCAGGAACACAACACGCCGGGCAGCTCTGAAGGCAAGCAAGCCATCTGTACTTGTTCACACTTTAGAAACCAACCTTCTGGAGGGCATGAACGAGGTGGGCTCCTACTTGCAGACGGGGGGGGGGAGGAAAGAATCGCGGCGTGGTAGAGCAGGCAAGGGACTCAGGGGCCATGTAGTCCAACTTGCAGCCAGCGCAGGAAAGCCTCCCTGACAGCCGGCCGCCCTGCCTCTTTTCTCCAACAAGCGAGCGCACCGCCTTTCAGCGTAACCCATGTTCCACAATCCCACCACTCTTGACATCAATTCTTCTTCGCATTTATAGTCAAGAATCTTCATGTCCGCCATCTGGATCTGTCGGTTGGAGACCTACCCTCTCGAGTGGCAGAAACCGAGTCTGCCCCATTTTCCTCCTGACCATCCTGCAGATCCTCGAGGACAGTTCTCGCATAATACTTTGCCCTCTTCTCTTCTCCAAACGAACCCCCCTCGGTGTCCTCAGCAGCTCCTCACGGGGCTCGGTTTCCAGGCCCTCCTGCCTGCCCTGCTCTACGTAAACACATTCCTGGTCGCTGACCATCCTGCCTAAAAGTGAAAGGCCACTACCCTTCTCTCACAGATGTAGGACACGTAAAAAGAAACCAACCTGCTCCCAGAGAAGAGTACAAGGACGACCGGGGCCTTTCGGCAGCTGTAAATGACATTTATTTTCTTATGTAAAGTTGGGAGGGGGGAAGGAATCAAATAAAAATCAAACGCACAACTGAAGTAGTGCAAAATATATATATATATATGTATACGTATATGTATAGAAGTATAAACCAAACTCAGACCAAAGGGGAGCAGGGCAGTAGGGAAAGCCTCCCGTTTCTCCCCCCCGCCCACTTCCCCTTCTGCCCTGCTTGCCGAGTCCAGCGACATATAACTTAGAACGGGTTTCGGGAAGTGGATTTTTTCCTGGGGTGAGTGGGTGGGGCGTCGTCGGGTGAGGAATGGCGCCTGGACTCCTTTGGGAACAAGCAGCAAAGGGAGAGCTTGCAAAGGAAAAAGAAACGTTAAAATAAAGCAACTGGGCCTGAACCGATTCAGCTGTTCCAGTTGCTGTACCATCCCGGGAGCAACAGGAAAGGAGACGGATTGGGGCCCTTATTGGATCTCCAACCTCCAACCCCCACCCCACCCTCCGCCGAGCAAAAGCGTGGTGGCAGCGTGCGCGTGGTGATGGCAGAAGGCAGGAGGTTCTGTATTTTGCTCCCAGGCTCTTTTAAAAGATGACTGGGGGGGGAGGGGATAAATTGTGGATGTGGACGTGTGGCGCCTCACAGGGCAAGAAAAAGGTGGAAAGGGAAGAGAAGTGTGTGTGGGAGGGGTATCGTGCGCAAGCGTCCGATGCACAGGCCGTGCTCAGCGACTCAGAAGGCCAAGGGTGCATGGGCTTAAGGGGGGGGCTCACGGATCCACCCGCATCAGCCCTTCTCCCCCACTGGGAAGATGAACGGAGGTGAGAGCAAGCCGTGTGTGTGTGCGTGTGCAAGTAGGTGCAGAGAGTTTTCTTCTGCGTGCAGGCAGGCGCTCTATGGGGCTTTGATGCTTTGAGATGCTTTGAGAGGGGAGACAACTGGGCAGGCCCCTCGCCCAGGTCTGAAGGGACATAAGTTATGCTACTCAGGAGTGGGGGATGGGTGGGGGGGGACAGGCACTGCTAAAAGAAAGACACCCTCCAACACATGCAGACACACATCCACACGGACAATCCCACGAGGAGGCCGGCTTCCTCCTGCGATCCACCAAACAGGCGTGCGACCACAAACAGAGCCAGGAAGAGGCAGCCTTGGCAGGAGTGCACACCTCTGCCGGCACCTACAGGTCACCCCAGCTGGTTTGGGGTGGGGGGCTGGGGGGGACAGGCTTTCCCTCCCCACTCTCCTCTCCCCCACCCCCAAGAGTGCCAAAGCATCCCTTTGGGTCCTCCACACCTCCCTCCGCTACAGAAAAGGAGGGCAGTCACACAGCACGCCCACCCAGACGGAGGGAGGGAGGGAGACAGAGAGATGGGGGGGACAGAGAGATCGAGGGAGAGAGACTGAGGCAGAGAGAGAGAGAGCCCCCAGCGGTGTCCTTCAGCCAAGGCCCGGATCCAAGGGAAATCACACCTGCCCGGCGCCTGGCACATCTGTCCACGGAGCAAGAGGGGAGGAGGCCCGGATGAACAACGGTGTCCCCTGCCGCTGCCTCCAGCCTTGGGCTATGCGGTGGTTTCCGCAGGCTTGCTCTCCGAGTCACTGTCGCTCAGGTAGCTCCGGGAAGAGTGCTTGGGCCTGGGCGCGCCGCCTTCAAAGAGGTCTCTCTCCTCGTCCGATCTGTCGTAGGTAAAGGACTTCCGATAGCCTGGAGGGCTGCAGGAGGGAAACAAAGAGGACCGAGAGTCACTTACAAGGGGCGGCTCGCAAGGGGAGGCAGGCAGGCAGGCCTCTTTGCAAGCCGGCTACCGGTTCTCTCCTGGTCAAGCCACCACCAGCCCTGGGCAGGAGGAGCATTTCTCGATGCATTGAGACCAGCCTTTGTTCACCACCTTTATCCTACCTTCACAGCACCCGCATCGCGGCACCACAAACTACATGCAGGGGCGGACAGGAAGAAGAGCTTCTTTTGGCAGGGGAGGGCAGGGCTTCGCTCGTTAGCCTGGCCCTGCAACCACCCTTTAAAAAAAGATCTGCAGCAGCCGGTTCTGAAAGCTGGCCTGAAGCCTCCAAGAGTGCAAAAACGGGGATGGAGGGCGTAAGATGGGAAACCCCCGAGCTGCCCGTGTTACTTGAGAAGCCAGTCCCAATCCGGACGAGGGACAAAGTCAGAGAGCAATTCGTGGCCACCCGGTTCCACTCAAAATGTGTGGGGCTGAAACTCCCGCCATCCCAAAGCCAAAATAAGATTATGGGGCTTGTAGTCCCACCCGCTCATGGGCCTGCCCACCTGGCCAAGGAAGGGGAAGGGAAGAGGGTCGGGCATTTGGAGAAGGGGAGAACCTCTGAGTCAGAGTGACATACGCCCGGTTGCCAGAAATACATGCTTACACCCTGGCTTCTGCAGGGTGCATCAATTATGCAGGGACACCCATATAAATCTGCTGGTTTTACATAATTTATGCCGTTCCCTCTGGCTGACAGAAAGAGGCTATTTAAGGGCCTGGAGTGACAACCCCCAACAGACACCTAGACTCTGAGGGCCCTCTGGTTTGAAATTTTACTGCCACTCCCGCGCACAGCACACCCGAGAGTGAGTTCAAAAGGCCCAAAGCTTAAGGAAGGAAGGAAGGAAGGAAGGAAGGAAGGAAGGAAGGAAGGAAGGAAGGAATTTCTGGCTGCCGAGTTCTAGGCCTGCTATCCATTTCTAAGCTTACATGGCCATAGTGACTAAGAGTATCTGGAGCGCCAGAATCTGAAGCCACCGCTTGTGTAAGAAGGCACGGACGGTGGGGCTGTGTTGCTTTTGAAAGGGGGGTGGCAGCACCCCTGGTTCTGCCCGGCTCTTAGAGGGGAGACCCTGCCTTCTCTCCCGATTCCCAACCCACCTCAGCAAACCCTTCCGCCACCGCCAGCTCGCTTTCAAGGAAAACCCATTATTCATCTTTATTATTTCGGATTTTTTCCCTTCTCTCCACACAGCCCCCCCCCCGCACCGCCCCCCAGACATTTCCAGGGCATTTCCGTGGTGACTGAGCCTCCCCCGTCGTTAGCAGAGCTAAGCAAATAATCTGTGGCAAATCAGGCATTTGTTGGAAATTTCACCCCTATCTGTCACAAGCCATGCTCTCGGAGAAAAGAGGGAAAGGGAAGAAAAGGAGAAACCTCGCAAACAGGCTCATTATGTGGAGCCTGTTTGCAAATTCCCCTTCCGGCAAGAAGAATCTGCTAGAGAGGAGGGATTCATTACCGGAACCCTTTGCAACTGAGCAAAACACACACACACGCGCACACACAGAGAGCCCTTTCCTTAGTCACTTACATACCTTGTTGCAGCATCACACTTAGTCACTCCGCACATCTTATGCAAAGGCAGACCCTTTATAAACTGTGAAATGCACGCACGGCTGGGACTCTGGCAGGCCTCCAGCGGAGGGGCCAGATCGCTTAGGGGTGGGTAGACCATCCGGGTTCCCCTGCCAGGAAGGGGCAGCCCAACCGGAAGCCTCTCCAGGCCGGAGACAGGGAAGGACAGCAAAGTTGGGCGGCCCCCGGGGAGGGTGGCGGGGAGGCTGTGAAGACACTTTTCGGTTATTATAGGCGGGTGGTGGCAGCATCGTCCATGGGCAGAGAATCGGATTGACTCATGAAAGGTGGAGGCCCAGGAAGATCTCCCGTCTCCCACCCCTAAGTACCATCTCCAACCCCTAAGGACCGTTAAGGTCCATTAACGACTGCTGATTAACCCTCCCACCCCCCCAGCTGGACTGTCTGCCTTTAACATTTCATGTTCTTCTCCTTCCCACGTCTGTGGACGCACCGGTCCAGCAGAGCACAGCATTTTCTGTTTAGCCTTTTGCTTAACCTCCTGAGGACTAGAACCTTGACAGTTTTGGAGAAGGATCCTAATTGCGGCAGAGCCCTTGGAGCCCTGGTTCAAATTCTTTCATCTCCATCCCTAATTTAGAAGGATGGTGTCCTTGGCCGAGTCAAAGACTCTTGACAGTCGCTGCTGCCAGTCCCAGGGTCCATCCTGGGCTGGAAGGAGGAACTGTCCTCCTCAACTAGGGGACACCAATGGGACCTCCTCCCCTCAGGGACTTCAGGCTCACATAAAGGCTGGGGATGAATGAGCCAGGCCGTCTCCTCCTGCCTTTGATCAGCTCCGGGAGGCGCATCATTCCTCGGACACCCTCCAACCAGGCCTCCACTCTGGCTCCAGACCCAAAACGGGGCCAAAGCTCCTCCTGATTGCGCCCTTTCTTTGGGTCCCGCTGGCTTGCTTCTTGGGACACCCAGAATCGGTCGATTGGATGGCAGCAGCCAGAATAAAAAAAATCCTTTCCTTCCAAGCTCCGTCACCAAGGCCACCCTGGAGTGCAAGCAACCTCTCCTCCTCTCAGGGAAATCATCCAGATTTTTAAAATTCTGCTCTCAGAATGCATCCTCTTTCAGCCATATTTTCTGAGCCCCTCTCCCTCCTTTACATACGTGCGCGCGCACACGGGGGGGGAGGAGAAGAGGCGCGCCAAGGCTCACGAAAGCACCTCTCTCTGGGTGAGGGCTCCTTCTCATTGTATGCAATTCTGCACCCCTGCTGCACAGTGGAAAGGGGCTCCAGGCTCCCCAGCCCCCCCCCACTGCCCTGCACCCCGGACTGGGTTGCTGCCGCCACCTCCTCCTCTGCGTGCGCCCTAACCCAAGGCCACCCCTCACAGCTCCATTTCTGTTATGTCAGCAGGAGCATTAAGTGCATTAAGAAATCCAAAGCGCAACGCTCTCCCAGCTGCAGGAGAAGGCGATGGCAATTGAATGGTTTAAAAATAAATTGCTTTTAAAAAAAATAAAAAGCGGGCGCGCACACCATCACAACACAGAAAACAAGAAGCAACAGCCGTCAGCAACCCGCTCTGTCCTTTCCAGATAATTCTCCCATTCAAAGCTGTTGGAAACAATTTATTACACAAATAATTTGTTGCAGGGTGGGGGTGGGGTGGGGGTGGGGAAAGAGGCGAAGTCAACGCGCCCGCACCCTTCTTGCTTTGGCAGCGCTCGCTTGTCTTGTGCCTGCCACCGGGCCCACCCCTCCGAAATGCTCCCGTCACCCGACTCTCTCTTGTCACATCTCCCAGGCAGGCAAACAAAAGGATCCTGGCCGCAGGCGTGAACAGTAGCCGAATGAACAAAGGAACGAACGAACAAACACAAACGTGCCTCACCGGGGAGGGTGCCCCGTGAGAGGAAGAAAGGGATGGGGGGGCAGCTATGTCCCCACCCCCACCCCACCCCACCGGCCTCTTCTTTCTGGGCTTCTCAAACCCAGCCAGGCCGATACTTTCCTGGTGTTTCCCTGTGGTGTGTAACGTTGATCTGAACAACCCGCCGTGGGCAGATCAAGGGAGAGAAGGGAAAGAACGCAGCCGAGAGGAGCCGGGGTGCCACCGGGTGGAGGGGGGGCATCTTTCCTCCTGCCCCAATGGGTCCCCCCCCTTTGTTCCCACCTGCGAGACCGTGACCCTCCAAACTAGTCGTTCACGGAGGCAGAGCGTCACTTTGGGAAACCCACAGCACAGGAGTATTATCCGATCTGGGGGGGGGGGCCCTGAGAGGCCGCAGAGTCACGCCTTCAATCAAATGACAGGTTGGAACCGGGGACCGCTCAGACGAGACCGGCTGCGGGAAGGGCATTCACGGGGACTGACCGGAGTCTGATCCCCGCTAGATGTGATTCTGCTCGGAGGTGAGGCGGAAGCCCTGGGTGTCTCCCTGAAAAACCAAGACACTGGGCAGTGGAACGTCCTCAGAGAGCCGTCCTCGGAGAGAAAACGCTAACTGGGCATCCAGACAAGCGGCGAAACCGACACGCCGGCCTTGGGTGTCTTCCAGCGGCGGAGAGACACGGCAACACACCAGGGCTAGAGGATCTGAATGCTTGTGCTTCCTCTTACCGTCCACGTCTCAAACCGATACAGGCCTGATGGAGCAGTTTGGGAAAACGCAAAAGCCCGCATGTTCCCTTTTCTCGCATTTTGGTAGCCTAAGGAAAATCTCCTTTAATGGCACCGCTGCTGCCGCCTCTCTTGGCTGCCTTCTGAGGCCTCCCAGACACAATAAACGCATTTTTCAAGCCATCGCTGCCCCCCGAGATGGGGCCAAGAGGGGGAGAAGAGGGAGATTCTCAGCGAAAGTGGACAGTTCTGCAGCCGTCTCATGTTCTGGTCCGAGGATGGCAAGGTGTGCGCAAGCAAGAGCCGCCCTGCACACAACCCCGGCACCTTGCTGGCTGGCCGGCCGGCCGGCCTCTGATGTCCGACAAAGAACCCGAGGGAAGGCAAGGGCCTCGGCCACAGGGCCCCCTGCTCCTTGACGCAGCTAAAGAGGGTCACCGGAGAGATTGCCTCCCGCCTTGAGAGCTGCTTCCAAAGATCAAAGGAGAGGGGGAAAGTATCTGAGAATGAAGCAGGCACCTTCACGGATTTGCAATGCTTCTCCTGCCACACAACATTATTATTTTGAAGGGGGGGGGGAAACAGGAATGTAAACAGCCATTTCTCTGCAACACAGCGACTAATCTTCCCAGCGGCACGTGGGAGGGGGATAGAATGACTCCCAAGCTCGTTAATTGCATGAGAAATAAATACTGCCAATTCCTGAAAGGGCAGAGAGAGGATTAATGCTTCTTGGCATCCCGTTTCCTTCTGTAGCTAATCCTTGGGGGAGCCAGCGGAGAGAAGACGGGGGACTAGAGAGGGCCCTTTGGTTGGAGCAGACACGGCTCTCGGGCAGAAGATGCTCGCAGGGAAAAGGAAGCGGGCAAGGTTCAAAACCATGAGCTCTCCACGTCCGCCACATGCCCTGGGTGGATCCTTCGTGCCTTCCATCCTCTCCTCGCCTGCCACGAGGAAGCCACAAGCTTTCTAGCACAGGAAGGGCCTCTAAGCTCAAGCAGCTCAGCTCCAACCAAACGAGAAGGGCCCGGGTTCAAAACCTGACTCTCTCCTTCCCAGGAATCACCACTCCAGCTTCTATGTCGCTGGAAATCCTTGACACCGGTGTGGAAAAAAGGAGCCACAACGAAGAGCCCAGGAAGATTAAGACACACGAGGCCACACTTCCGGGCGGTCTGCAAAACCACGGGGCGACAGGAGTCATCGTCCTTCCGTTTACCAGCATGCGGGAAAACACACTTTTTCCAGTTTGATTAGTGGACGTGCCATCAGTCCAGCAGACAAAAAGACCACCCGGCCGCCCCTCCCTCCCCTTCCCTCTTTCCCCATCCCCGGTTAGAAGTTAGTCGGGAAGCTCGTGCTCACACACTCCATGCTGCCACTGCCGCCACCTGCCTTAGTCGCTCTCCGGCCGGTAGAGGTACTTCATCATCAGGCTGTCCACCTGCTTCTTGCGCTGCTTCTCCTCCTTCTTGAGCTGCTTGTTCGACTTGCCGGCCTCCTGCCCCTCCTTGGCCGCCCCCGAGTCGCCCTCTTCCCGCCGGGGCCCCTTTTTCACACTGGAGTTGCTGCGGTACGAGACGGTGGAGCCCGAGGAGGAGGAGGAGGAAGAGGACTCCGAGGAAGACCCAGAGCGCGAACGCGACTTCTGCTTCTTCTTGGATTTCTTCTTGGACTTCCTGGCATGCTTCCGGGAGCTCCTCCGTTGTCGCTCGGGAGAAGGTGAGGAAGAGGAGGAGGAAGAGTCGCTGGGCGAACTGTCGCTCCTCTTTCGGCCCTTGGCCTTGACGCCGGGAGGCCGGGAGAAATCCAAGGCCGAGGCCGACCGGCGCAGGCTGCTGCCGGCCGGGCACTCCGTCCTCTCCTGCAAAGCGAGGCTCCTGGAGCTCCGGACGCTCTTCCGGTCATCGTCTTCGGAGTCGGGATCCAGGCTGGAGCGCTTGAACTGGACGGGCTTGTAGTTCAGCACCTCGTGGATGGCAGCCTCCAGGTCGGGGTCGAGGTAGCTGCGGTGGCCGACGGGCCGGAGATCCAGGTCCTCCGCCCGCAGCTCCTCTGAAGCAGAGGCTCGGGGCCGTGGGGGCACCGAGAGGCTGCGGGGGAGCGAGGGGTGGCTGTAGAGGGAGAAGGTGTCGCTCGGGTCCACGCCGGCGGCCTCGTCGGCCGGAGCGCGGCCCAAGGAGAGGCGCGAGCTCGGCCGGCTGCCGGAAGAGCCGAGGTTGTCCAGGCGGGAAGTGCTCCGCCGCAAGCTACCCGGGCTGGAGAGGGCAAAACTGAGCGAGGACCTCGCGTCGTCCTCCCGGCTCTCCAGGCCGCCACACCAAGACGCTCCCCCGCGACTGACCGGGGCGGAAAGGAGGGAGGCCTTGTCCAACTCGGCCGCGGAGGCCGGCCAGCGTTTCTCCAGCTCCTTCCGAAGGTGGCTGGTGCCAGTGCCGGCGGTGCTGCTCTCGGAGAAGGGCTGAGAGAGGACGGAGCTCCTCCCGTCCAGCTCATCCGCCCCACCTCCGGTGGCCTTCTTCCACGAGGCGACAGAGCCGCTGCCTTCCTCCAGACCTCCCGCTGCTGCTGCCGAGTTGCGCTTGGCCTTGCGGAAGGAGCGGTCTGGAGAGGCCGGGCGCTCGCTCAGGGTGGAGAAGAGGGTCTCCTCGTCCCCTTGGCCCCCGATGGAGTCCTTGAGGTTAGCCCGCTTCCTGTAGCTCAGAGAACTCATGATGGACACGGGCCTCTCGTCCGCCTCCTTGGCCTCTTTGGGCCTGACAGGGACACGACAGGACGAGGGGGCAGCAGGGAGAGAGAGAGAGAGAGAGAGAAAGAGGGAGGGTGAATTCTAGGGAAGAGCCTGGGAGCCTCCCCGGGGGCAAGCATGAGAGCCAGAGAAGGCCCAAAGAAACAGGGATGGTGTGCGTAAAGGCAGAATGACTCAGGAAGCCCGCTGCAATTTAAGCTATTGTTCTACATCGCTGCTTCTCTTCCCCTTTTCCACCAAAAAAAGGGGGGGGGAGAGAAGCTGCCATTGATTCCAATTTATTTTGTTATCAACTACCTAGAAAACACGGGCAGCGCATAAACGACTGATTCTCAGCATTGGCACCGAAAAAGGAAAGGGAAATGGGGAGGGGCAGAGAAGAAAGGGGCTGAGGGGGAAGTGTTATCTTCCATAACAAAATGTTTTACATCCATGCCAAAGAATAAATTAAACCAATTAAGAGTGTGCCTCAGATCTTCCCCCGCTTAGCAGTTGTGTGAACAGTGGTGGCTCTGGGGAAGCGGCAGGAGGCGAGAAGAGAGGCAGAAAGAAAGGAAGGCTCCTAAGCCGCCCTCCAAGCGGGAAATGGGGCTGGATACGGAACCAAACCTCTCCTCACTGAGGAGGTCAAGGGGCCAGCCGGAGGGAGCCAGGCCGGGGAGAAGGGAGAAAGGGGGAAGGAGGCCAGCCGGCTCGGTTCCCTTGGCCCCTTTCAGGCACCAGCTCTGGCAAGGTGGCAGGGCCGGGCGGGTACCAAGCAGCCCCCCCCCTCGGCCTCTGCCACCTCCAAGAGGAGGAGCAGGAAAGGCGCTTGCAAGGAGCGGGCAGGCGGGAGGGCTGGCTCAGCGCCATCGGCATCAGGCTTGCCACGCGCCGCTGCCGTACCACTGGTTGCCATGGCAACAGGTGTCCTATAAATAGACCCGGCTGGTTCCTGGTCACTTCCAAAGCCCGGGGAGGAAGAGAGGGAGGAGAAGGAGGAGGCAAGGGTCGGCCACTGGGTGACGGGTCCCTCTGTGGGATCCCTTCTCCGGCCCCTTCTTCCCTTGGACCCCCTGCCAGAAAACAGACGGAGGGGATGCGCAGAACAGGCAGCCGGGGCAGCGGACCTTCCCGTTGTGCTCTCAAGGATTGGGACTTGGAAGGAAGGAAAGAAGCCTGGCTGGCTTTGAGCATCGTGACCCTGGGCTTGAGCGGCTGAGTCAAGGGGCGCCTCTTCCCCCATCCTCACTCAGGCAGCGAAAGATTTTGGTCCAGCCTTGTTTGCATCGTCTCGCTTGACTCTCCAGCCGGGCCTCCTCAAGAGCCAAGGTGGCAGGGAGGGCATGACCTCCAGCCTTTTGCTCTTCCCAGACCCTGGTTCGTCCGTACCTGCTCGCTTTCCTTCCCCAGAGAGCCTGCACAGGTGTCAATGAAAAAGGCAGGTGGGGTGATGGGCAGACACAAAGCCTCTTGGGCACCTGGCAGAGAAATGCCCCAAGGCCCCCCCCCCGGAGTCTTCAACCCAACAGCCTCTCTTGCCCCTTCCTGGAAACAACCAGACCCGGCAGCCCCGACATCTTCAGGAGCAAGGGGACCCCTTTCCTGCACAGGGACCCATCGGCACCCAGGAGGAGGAAACCATCGTTCCCAGAATCCCGCCATTGCCTTGCCATTCAGGAAGCTGCCACCTCAAAGAGAAAACCGCCCTGTCTCTGGACTGGATGCAACAGCTCAGCCGGAGCTGAGAAACCGAAGCCCGTCTCTCGGGCAAGCTCAGCCCCACAGAGAGGAGCTGGGGGTGGGCAGCGGGCACCCATTTAATGCCCAAGCCCCCCAGGGGGTTGGCGGGAGCCTCGGCAGGGTCAGGAAAGAGAGGCCTCCGAACGGCAGCGCCCGGTCTGCTGTTTCGCGCCCCGTTGCATCCTCCAAGATGGCGGGGCCTATGTGGAACTGAGAAGCAAGGACCCACCGAACCCCCCACCACCACCACCACCCCGGCCCTTCCCGGGAAGCCCACGCCCAGCCTGGCCCAGCCGACCGACCGACCTGCTGCTCTTCAAGCTGCCGTCTTCCGAGACCGTCTTGGAGGGAGTCTTGTTCTTGGACAGCCACGACTTCACACCGTCCACCCGGTCCTCGAGCTCCGAGTCGGCATCTGAGTCTCCATCGCTGGAAGGAGCAGAAGGGGGTGTTTGTGAGGGGGGAGCGCCACGGAGGGACCACCAGAGAGAGGCCTCCTTGAGGCCAGGAGTGGGGGGGGGAAGAGAGAGGAGTGGGCAAGCATCAGGCCAGGAGCGCATGCAGCAGTGCTTAGAGAAGGTCCGACGAGGGAAGAGCCAGCCAGCGCTCGAGGGCTCAAGAAAGACCCCCCCCCCCCCCCACCCCCGTCCTGCTGCTAGAGCTCGGCCTGAAGAGGCAGAACCCTTCGGAGGCTGCTGGACTACGGCTCCCATCCTCCTCGTCCACCACCACTTCCATGGGATGATGGGAACTGCAGTCCAACCACCTCTGGAGGACCACCCATTTCCCCACCCCTGTAACAAAGGGGTGAAACGGTCTGAACCGCCTTGACCCACAACGCAAATCATTCTTCCAGGCCACGGAACAAACGGAGGAGTCGGGGAAACAGATCTGCTCTACGGTGTAGCTCACGTGTCTCTTAGTTAGCCAGTGCCGCCACTCTGGTCGAAATAATATTTTTTTAAGCAAGAAGAAAAAAAAACCGAGAGGAAAGAGAGGGGAGTGAAGGGACGAGGGCACACACATCCTTTGCTCCCCAAAGAGGAAGCAAAACCCGCTAGGGGTCACCTCACCGTTTGCTCCCTGAGCACCAAGAACTTATGGGGACCGGTCTCTCTGCCCCAAAGAGGGAAGCTGGCCCCGCCTGCCTCCGCCAGCCCTGCGGTGCGGGATGGCCGAGCTGCCTTCCAGAAGGCTCTCTCGAGCTGCCCGAACCATCGGCCCCAGCCTAATTTTGTAAGCCATCGCTCATCGTCACCACCACCACGAGGCTCCCAGTGCCCACAAGGGGCTCCTGTCCATTTACTGTTGTGTGCCTTAAAGGCACCGCAGGGCATCTGCGAAACCCACCAAAAAAAAATCCCCCCCTGAACAAGAGAGTAGAACTCTGGCCCTCCAGGTCCTGAAAAAAGGACTAAATCAAAGGGAAAACACTGGAAGCTGCAGTCAATTGCTCAGTTAGCCTCTTTTTATCAATCTAGCTTCATACTGCCTGCACTGGCCGCCAGCAATGGCTCTGTAAGGTTTCAGGCCACGAGCTTTCTCGTAACCCACACAACAGACAACTTGTGCAGGCAAAGCACAAACTTTTCTACTGAGCTAGCCAAGTGAACTCCAAGGCAATTATTTGTATTTATTTCACAGTCATTTAACTTGGAGGTCCTCCACTACCCCCTGAGTAAATAAAGACTTCTTGCCATTTGGCGAGGGTGGCAAGAATTTTCTCTCTCTCTCTCTCTTTTTCTCTCTTTTTTTTTTAAACTCCTGAAAGAAAAAAGCACATCTTCAGATCTCTACAGGGCTGGATGTCAGCGGCAGAAAATTCTCAACAGCTGTACTAAATTCCAGTCCTTCAGAGGGGAAAAAGTCAAATCATTAAATTGGTATAATAAGCACAAGGCAAGTTTCTCTTCCAAGGAGGGGCAGACCTCAGAGACACGGGGGCAAAGGGGGGAACAATGCAGAGAGGAGAGAAAGAGATAAATATATATTTAAAAAGAAAAGGATGAAGTAGAGAGAGGGAGAGATCCCTCAAGATGAAAGACTGCTGAGATACACAACAGTGAGTGGAAAACCCCATTAAACTCTCAAACCCTCCAGGGACCAGCTGTGCTCTTTGGAATTAAAAGCTAACCTTCCGGCTTCCGATGTGATGGGCTCAGCTCATTTTTTAAAAAAAATATATATATATATATAAAACCTCCGTGCTTTCTCCACAACACCCATCAATCCCTCTCTTTTTTCCCTTTGTTGTAAACAGAAGCTAAGACTTCTCTCCATAGTTGTGGACCTGAATACAGAACGGACGGACGGATGGTGGAGCGACGATGAAGCAGGTGCGGGAAGAAAAGGGGTCTGGAGCAGCTCCCAAAGACGGGCGGGGGGGCCAAGGGAATAAAAGGGAAAGGGGCTCCATTTTACAGAGTGCCCTGTTAAGGCGACAGCAGGGGAGAGCGATCCCCCGTCCCTCGGCAAAGCGGCGCTTGAGCAGGCCACGCGCGGGAGCAGCCCGGTGGCGCCAGGATTTACAGCCCCGAGCGAGCGAACCTCTTTGCGCAGCCGGTAACGGGCGGCCTGATTTATATGTATGTGCAAAGGCGGCCCCATCCGGCTTAACGCCTCCAAATTTATAAGCGGCATTCATAACGGTATTGATTGCCTGGAGCACGCAAACACCGTTATGCACGGGAGTGGAGCCAGGAAGGGGGGGAGAGAAGAACAAGCTATCCTTGTACGTGGAAGGGGGCTCTCGTATAAATCTGCCCCCGCTAATACGAGGCTGTTTACCACTTTCATTAGGATTATGGCAGTAAGAACGGTATCTACGAGCAAATCGGAGCATTATTTCTCTTCCTGCCTCGACAGGCTAAATAACTCTCTGCTCAGCTTCCTACGGTGTTAAGTGGAAAGAGGGGCAATGGAAACCCCACACACACACGCACGCACGCACACACACACCCCTCCTCCACAGACCCCTTAACAAATACGTTTAACGCAATGTTAAAGGAGCACTCTCGCTCACTCCATCTCACCGCGGGCTTATTCTCTCGTCGCGGAGCTGCGCACGGTGGACAGCCTCTCCTCTGAATCCAAATGGCTCTTGTTAAATTCAAAACACCCAAGCCCCCTTGATCAACCCACACATCCCCCTCTCTGTGAATAAATGCCAGGAGGCAGTTTGTTAATTTTATTTTTTCCTCTCCTGCTTGAGGAGGGGGAAAAAAAGAGGCTGAAGCGGGCCCCGTAAACAAATTCTGGGGGCCGCTGAGATTTCAAATTGTCAGAATTAAACCTCCTGTCAAAGGCAATTTATGTCCAGGCTCACGTGCCATTAGTTAACTGGGACCCAAATCCCAGGGGGGGAACCGAGCGACGCAGACAGGACGATGGGGGACATTAATTGTGTGTGACAACGAGGCTCCCTCGACCTTCTATCACTGCTGCACACAATTACATTTATCATTAGCCCCTGCAGAACTTGCCAGGCCCCAGCCAGGCCCATTGCCAGCCCGGGCTTGGCAGGAGGGAGGGAGGGAGGAGGGCGGTGCCCGCCGCTCTCAGCATCATCATCCGCAAGCAAGCTGGGTTTCCGGGTTTGGAGGGCAGATGCTGGGCTCCGGAGAATGGGGACGGGGGGGCTGCTTTTTCCCTCCCCATGCATGGTTGGGTTTGGGTCTGGTTTGCTATTCTGGTGTTGGTCACACACACAACGCACACACACGCACCTCGTGCAGGGTCTGTTAAAGAAGGGGCTACATTGTGAGGGGATTCATTAAAACAGTCGCGAGGGAGCCCAAGTGCCAGAGCCAGATCTGGTTCCTCCCGGGGTCCGAAGTTGGCCCTCCAAAGGCTCCCCAGCTGGTCCCTTTCCCTCCACCACCACCAACACCCCACCCTTGGGGGTAGGGCGTTACTCTTTGCCTCTCCTGCAAAATGCTGAAACTGAATTTGGTGAACAGGCTAGCCTAGCTCTCCCCGCCCCCAGCGTACCCAGAGCGCTGAATCAGCCTTCCTCACTAAGGCTCGTTTCTAGCTGCTTCCAGGCAGCCCCGGCGGCAGGCTCGTCATTCCACGCTCAGGATTTCACGCATTACAGGGAGGCTCCCCTGAAGGAACCCTCAGCGAGGGGCCAGAGAGTTCCTTGACTGAACTCATTCCTATTGCATGGATCTCCCGAGAAACCAGTACACATTGTCGAGGACTCCCCTTGTGGGACTCGGGTTTGGAAACACTCCGTGGCATTCACACAAGGTGTTTTCAGTTGGAGGCCAAGAGAACCTCACACGCCCGGCACTCCTTCGCGGGCCAAGAGGAGAAATCCAGGGCCCTCGCCTGCCACCTGCCACAAACGGGCTGCTTTGGGAGCCCCTGCGTCCTTACAAGGCACCACAGCAGGCTCCACTCCAATTTAGGTAGCACACACACAAACACACACACACATAGGCAGAGACCTGGAAAGAGGCAGGACGGAGGCTCAACGTGAGTTTCAGCCAACCTGCCTGTCATGCAGACGGAGTGGGGTGCACGATGCAGGGGTTGTTATTCCAAAGGGTCAGCGAGGAAGGGCAAGGTCTAGTGGCTTCTCCATCCCAAAGCATTACCCGCTTTTTTCTCTCCTTCCCCTCCGGCGCCCTCCCTCAGTCTAATTGCCTGGCATCCACACCTCTGTCCCTTCCCCGAATTCGGTGGTCAGTTTCACATCCCACAGGGGTTGTGCCACAAAGAGCTTGGAGTCACTGGTTAGAGCTTCAAGATCAGTGCACATGCGGGGGGGGCAGCATGCAACTAATACTGGGGAGAGGGGACACCGCGGGGGGCTCTCCTCCCCTCTCCAGGGCATGCTTGAGGTTAGGAGTAACCAGATGTTACTAGCAACCAAGGAGAGACACTTATCCTCACAGCTTATTTCTGCGCCTCTGGTACTTTGCCACCATGTCCTGCAAACTGGAGTACGGGGAAGGGGGGGGAGAGACAAGGGAGGGGGGGCCGGAAGACCAAGCAAAATAATATAAAACATACAAAAAGTGGCAGGGGAGGAAATAAATCTGAGATGAGAAGGGGGGAGGGGGCAAAGGGGCAACTGAAAGCTAAAGATGGAAGGGGAGGCTGCCTGGGATGGCCTTGGTGAAGACGCGGCAGGAGGAGGAGGGGCGCCAGGAGGTCGGGGTCAGGGTCTGGAGCTCCAGCAGGCTGAAGGGAAGGCCAAGGAGCTGGCGGCCAAGGCTTTGAGGAGGAGGAGGAGGCGTTACCTCCACGGCCACTAGCCTTGAGAGTCCAATGGAAGGAAGCCTCAGCCTTCCAGATCATTCGGTCCTGGCCCTTCGCTTGCTGTGCTAGCTGGGCCTCCCAGGAGCTGACCTCCAGCAGGGTCTAGAAGGCCCCAAGGTTTGGGGAGGGGAGGTTAATGGAGACTCTGGCTCCAAAGGCAGGCCCCGTCTGCAGGAAGAGGGTGCTGGTCGCTGCCGCCCTGTCTTGCCTGTGAGGGTCTGGAGGGGTGGGGGGCCCCGGTGGGTGGCCGGTGTGTCCTTCAGCAAGCCGAGGAATGAGCCACAGAGAGTGGGATGATGGAACAGGGCACTGCTGCTCCCTCAGTGCGAGTCTCCCCCCCCACCACCAGCATCCACCCCCCCCTCCACCCACACCTGTTGATGAGGTCCTCGTTGTCGTCGCTCTCCATCTCGTCCTCGATGGCCGCCTGCAGGTCCCCGATCCGCTTGAAGGCCAGCTTCAGGTCCGACTGCAAGCTCTGGTTGGCGGCTTCCAGGCTCTCCAGATCCATCTCCTGGGGGGGTGGGAGCAGGGGAGGGGGAGGGGGTTGAGAAACAGAGAAGGAAACAGTTTTGTCCGGGCAACGGGACCTCCGGACCCTCACCGACGGATGCGCCATGCCCCGCACCCGCAGCCGGCGCGCTGAGCTCCCCCTGTTGCTGCTGCAAAAAACGCAGCTTCCCAAGAGACAGCTGACCGGGGGCGAGGTGTGCCTTATTACTGGGGGGGGGGGTTGCGAGTGAAAGGGAGGGAGGGAGCAGGAAGACCCTCTGGGTATTCTGCAGATGTACAAGGTTTCCTGACTTTGCAAGATTTGGGATTCCACCCCCCCAACCCCTACTAATGTGCAGAGGGGGCAGGCGGGAGGGGAAGAGGAGGAGGGACCTGGAAGGGGCCGCTGCTTGCTCCCCTCCGTACCAGTTCGTGCTTCTTCCGGCTGGCCTCAGCTTCCTTCTTGGCCAGCTCGGCCATCTCCTCCTTGGAGTCCCGCAGCTGGCGCTGGAGGCGCTTGTTCTGCTCTTTCTCCCGGTTCTCGGCCGCCGTGCGCTGGTCCCGCTCTTCAGTCAGTTTCTCCATGTTCTCCTTCAGTCGGGTGGCCAAGCTCTAAGCGGAGAAGGGCAAAAGGGAGGAGAGACGGAGGGGTGGGTGTGAGAGGCTGCCCTCAGCCATGGTCAGGGGCGTCTCTGCAGCTGGAAAGGCTCCCTTCTGAAGTCCTAGATCCCCGGGGGTGGGCACTGAGTGGCTCCCTGGATATTTCGAGTGACAGCCCCCTACGGCTCCTTGCCCATGGCTCTGCTGGGTGGGGCTGATGGGCACCCAGGCAGCCGCCGGCTGGCCACTCCTGGGGTAGAGGGAATCTTGGCTTTCTGATTTCACAAGCCGAGCACAATTTGCAAAATGGCTGTTTCGTTTGCCGCTTGGCAATCTGGCCTTTGAATTCGGTCACTCGCCCAAGGGGCCAAACCCGGAAGGCGGTCGCCTTTTGCCGAAAGCGCCCCCTGCGCCTCACACAGACAATATGGAGAACCAGGTCGGCCTTGGCAGGTGGCTGCCGGAGGGGCCTTGCTCCAGCAAGCAGCTTTCGAGGTGGGGCAGAGGCCCAGAGCTTGGAAACCTTCCTGTGGGGCCAGGCCAGCTAGGGGATTCTAGGAGACCCCGTCAGCCAAAAAGCGAGGATCCCAAGCCCTGAAGAGACCCACAAGAGGCAGCAGCGGGTGGGTGAAGCCAGGAACCCTCCCGGGTCCCACACGTGGCTCCAGGTGCCCTGAAGCTGACACCCTCTCGCGGGTGGGTGAAGCCAGGAAAACCTCCCGGGTCCCACACGTGGCTCCAGGTGCCCTGAAGCTGACACCCTCTCCCTGAGCCCAGACTTGAGGAAAGGGACCTAAATCTGGACCCAACACAACCATAGAGCGCCCCATAAAAAGCATTGCCCCCCCTTTAAGTTTAGCTCTGGATCTGAACAAATGAGGGGCAACTTTAACAGAACCCACCCGGAAAGAAAGCATCCTGGAATTTGCAAGCAAGAATTGAATTTAACCCCCCTTCCAATTCCACCACATTTTGGAAACCAGAATGTGGGAGGAAGTAAAAGCTACAGGTCCCCTCCCGCCCCCCCCCAGGCTTTGGGCTTTTGAGTGCTTCCCGACCCCTCTTGTTTCTTCTGACGTTTCCCCCCTCCTTAACCTCTCCACAGCAGAGAGATGCCACGGGGTCCTCTCTCTTCCACAACAGTTCAGTTTGACCAAGGCCAGCAGGTCATATTGGGTAAGAGTTTAGTAAAATCTAATTCTATCCAGCGCATCAGCATTATACTCTAGACACTGGGGGCTTGTGGGGGGGGGGGGAGACAGAGACTGTTAAAAAAAATCTAGAATACAGCAGAAAATGAAATCGAGAAACATTCACCCTCGCAAAGGGACATGCTCCCTTCACCCATCAGAAGGGACCCCAGACATGAGAGAGAACCAAGAAATACTAACTAGCTAACCAACTAAAGAAATAAATAAATAAATAAGAAATAGGTTGGCCTTGACTTTTAGGTGGCAAGATCCGGACAGCACCGGGTTTCACCGCCTCTAACGGGGTGTGTGTGTGTGTGTGTGTGTGTGTGTGCTCAGCCAGCCCTCCCCTCCACCTCCACCTACCCCCTGGCCCCGAGCCACAGCAGGTGAAGAGGAGATGGCAGGAGAGCGCAGGGACCGGAGCATCAATATTCATCTCCTGCACATAATGGTAGCAGACAACGGCAATTACAGGGGACAGAGCCCGGGAATGAGCGTGGTCCAATCGTTCCCCGCCGAGCGTTAATGGAACAAACGAACCCAGCGCTATGAATTTACATGAGGGGGTGGCAGGCAGCGGAGGGAGCTCGAGGGGGGGGGGGGGTGGGGAGGGTGGCTGCCGAGTTGAGCCTCGGGGAAAAGGAACTTTTCCCTCCTTTGCCTGCGCCCTCAGCCCACTCCCCGCCCGCCGGGTGGTGGGCAGAATAATCAGGGGGGCTTTGGTGAATTGGAAAAATAGATTTAACTTTGTGTGAAGTAATTACAGCATGTAATGTAGGGAGAAAAATAGATTCCATCCTTTCGCGGCAGCTGAGCGCCGTCCCCTGCATATTTATGGTGCTGGTGGGGCAAGAAGGGGGGGAAGCGAATAATGGCACGGAAATATTAAGAGGGAGCTCTAAAGCTTCTCGGTTCCCTCGGCGGAAGGAGGAGCAGCGACAGCAGAATATCAAGCAGGCCGGGCATTTGACAGGTGCAGCTGCGGGAGACGGGGAAGGGCCCTCGTTTCCACAACGTGCCGGGCTGGACTGGGGTTCTTACCCCAGGCAGAGCAGTAGGGAGACAGAAGAGCAAAGGGCGGTTGTGTGTGTGTGGGGGGGGGAAGCTGTTTATTTGTAATTGACAGAACCACACAAACCCCTTTCTTGTCTTTCGCTCGCCCACCTGCCATATCCCGCAAACGCTCGGAATCTATGCATGCACGCATGCATCCCATATGCACTTCCTGTGTGGCCCCTCTTGTTCCCTGGCCCCACATGAAAAAGCACCCCGAATGAGCTTTTCTTTTCATGTTCTCTTGGGAGGTAGCCTGTCGCGAGGTGCCTGCTGGCTATGAGTAAAGCCATCCCTCTTTTTATACCTCTACTCCCTCTGTTGCTATTCGCATTGAGCCTTTTTCAATAGGATCATGAGGACTAGAAACCTATTTTGGTAAGAGAGCCTATGCAATATATGGAGAAACAACCCCCCCGGGGGGGGGAGAGTCCGTTCTTTCTTTCTTTCATTCTTTCTTTCTGACCTATTTTGGTAAGAGAGCCTATGCAATTTATGGAGAAACAACCCCCCCGGGGGGGGAGAGTCCGCTCTTTCTTTCTTTCTTATTCTGACACCCTCTTTCCTTTCTCTCTTTCCTTCCCTTCCTCTTTATCCAACAGGCTGCCAGTGACTGAGGGTGGGAATAATCCAGACTTCTGGGAAGATCCCTTAACGGCTTGCAGAGGGCTTTTCGGAAGAGGCTGGGGGCTGCTTGAAATTAAGCCCACGGCTGCTGAAGGTGACTTTGCTTTGTCCTCCTGCATGGTTTTCCCATCAGGATTTGGAAAAAAGGTGGAATCCTGCAGCCCGGGTGTTCAAATACCAAGGCACGTCCTGTGGCGTCACAGGCACTGATCCGCGAGGGGAAAGACAGGCTCACGTAGGCAGCAGCCTGGTTAAGGGATAAGGGGAGTTGCAGCCCAACACAACTGGGGGGCGGGGGGGGGCCTCCCGGTCCTTGAAAAGTGTTCTGTGACATCTCTCAGAATTTGCCCGAGGCTGGTTCTTTTCTTTTTCAGCTTTGGGGACCTGAGAAACATTATTCCAGCTTTCGAAGGAATGGCGAGGAACACCACCGCCTTCTGTTGTTCCTCCACAGCTCTGAGGTGGAGCCGCTTCGGCTCTGCTTTGGCCGACCAAGGACCCGGGGTGGGAGAAGAAGGCAGCGGAGAAAAGGGGGCAGGGCCAGGCCATGGCACCAGGGAAGCCAAGCTGCTGGGGTCCCCCCCCAGATGGGCTCCCACCCCACGCAGCCCCAGAGCTCCCCAGGCGCCTGGGAGGGACAAGGGCAGGCCTGTTTGCTCCGGCAGCCTCCTGCCCCCCCCCCCGGAGAAGTTTCAGGAGCTTCTTCCAGACGCACCTGCCCAGCATCACCAAGAGCGGGAGTCTGAAAGAAAAGGGGCAAGGTTTCCACCTGCAGACCCTGAAACGGCGCACGGCCCCTCACCTCCAGGCGCTTGACCTGAGTCCTCTCAAATTCCAGCCGCGTCTCCAGCTCACGGATCTTGGCCTCCTGCCGGCTGACCAACGATTTGTCCACCATGGACTGCTCCACGAACTCCAGCTGGCTCTGGAGGCCTTGCAGCTGAGGAGACAGGGGGCGGGAAGGGGGTC